CCCCCACTCCACACTCCACCCTGTCCCCCACCATAGGATGGTAGACCACTACACTTCCACCTAGTTGGTTTCCTGTTAGTTTTGTACACCTGAGTGAAGAGAATCAAGCGGTTTACCACAGATTCACCAGCCAAGGCTCAGATTATTAGCCCACTACATCTCTCAGGTTACACATCATAGAGTGGCTTTCATTAACCTGTGAARCAAAAKTTRCTTATYAGATGGTAATAGCCAGATTCAAACAATAGAAAACAAAGRAGTTAGAGCRTAATAGTACTAAATACGYTAAAATGTATTTCACAGCTTTATGAAAATATCTTTGGGAATCTGTGTTATAGGTGGCTGAATCATTGTATTGACTAACAATTTTGTACTTTTTGCAGTGAAATCACATCAAAGACTAGAGAAATCACCCTCAACTTATTTGACTTTGAAAAGACTTCACCAGGTACTTTTTATTCTTCCTATATGAAGGGGCAGATCCAGGAATCTAAGGGGGGGARGGTGGGGGCATAAACAATTAGCATTGTCCATCCAAAAAGGAACTAAAGACCTCTTGCATGTGACTTCAAAGCAGCTCAGTTTGGAGGACAAAACAAAATAACTTCAATCTCATGAGAATTGGAAAACTATTATTATGTCCTCCAAAGTGAGCTGATTTCTGACGAACTGCAAGGGGTCTATAGGGTTTGGGTTTRGCCAGGGGTGGGGGCTTATACCCAGTGAAGTTACATTCCTTTTGCAACTGACTTAATAATAATAATAATAATATTTATTTACTTAATATTGCGCAGTCTAACATGCCAATATATAATCGAGTGCTTCAGAGTTMATGCAGGGTGTTGATAAATAACATACTCCTAGGGTTTTGCTTTGCACAGTCATTAACAATGATTTCTGATCGAGCGAAGTTGGTGCAGGTCATGAAAATACCACTAGCTGCATCAAAACTAAAAGGGGGGTGCAGCCCCATAAAAGAGGCTAGGTTGGCTGCATTTTTCAGGTTCTACAATATCAGTATCCTCATTAAACTATAACATAGTTATTGTTTACTTACAGATGTYAATTATCACATGGATGACAATGAGTTGAGCCCAGAGCAAGGTAATTGACYTTTTTAATATGGCCCTTGTTTTTATATTTATCAAAAAAAGGTTTTTTCCCWTTTTCTAGAACAGTGTTGCTAGAGCTGCAGAGGGGCTTTTTTTGTCCTCTGTTTCTTCAGTCCGACGCTTAATGTAGCTTTACGAAGGGGGCAGAATATATTTGATAGTCAGTAAAGTGTGTTAATTACTCAATTTTCTATTTAAAAAAATCCTTTCAAAATGATGGGCAGAATTCTTAAATATTTTGAAGTGGTTTAAGGATCATTACATGTGCGGAGCGAAGAGCTACGGCCGAATAAGAGAAACCTTACTTAGGAACAAGCCGTATTGTTATTGTTTTTATGTTATACACACGTGGTCCTCGCTAGCAGGTGCTTRATCCCTACAGTAATTTCGGTTGGTTCTGTCTTCTGGGTTCTTACAGCTTTTGCGCAAAAGAGTTTTGCGCCGCCAGAGGAAATGTATGGAATATTTTTTWAAGTAACGGACCATTAGATTATTGAGGGGGGAGGGGTGGGGTTGYGTAAATCCCCCCAAAAATATCGAGCAAGCGCTTCACCTACGAAAAAATATCGCGCAACCTCTCCTTTTAGTAAAGAAATGTCGAACAAAAACAAAAAATTGCGTGTAGGGATTGTTTCAAAAATATATATATATCGAGCTAAATAATTCCTGCAAACACTACCCCAAAATCGAAAAAACCTTGGAAAAATTCTATCTAAAAAAATATTTTTTGACCCCCCCTCCTTGTGACGTTTTAGAAAAATACCCCCCCCCCTTTAAGTCAGCAAATACTATTAAAGTCCCCCCTTCTTTGTGTGATTTTTTTTCAAAGCCCATCCTACTTTTCCTCCAGCCACCCCAAGGCATAATTAATGAACAGTCCCTTATCTAATGATCCATCCCTCARAGCGTTCTTATTGTTGCAGCGTTATGTCCTGTTGAGGTCATACGCGTCTTGGTTTGYTCTTCTCAATAAAACCTATGGCTACGTGTAGGGCAATAGGAAACTCATTATTTTGTGTAAAAGACTCTCTTGTAGACTGTACATCGTTAGTCACAATACGACCCTGGCCGTGAGGGCGCTACCGTTAATCAACTTTTGTTGTCGCGTCTGTGTTTATAAGATGTTCCATGCCGCGGGTTTTTAACACCTGTTATGTGGAACCATTATTCTTGAGTGTTTTTGTATGATAAAGGAAGCCATTATTATAAAGGGACGCGCTTTTTTGATGCTTTTATATACAGATCTATATGTATAGAACTAGTTTTACTGCATGTATTTTGTGAATGAATTCAAAAGACTTTATTTCTTGACCTGTACATTATCAGTTTTTTTAGTCTTCGAATATGTAAGGCTATTAGTTTATGTCTTCCTTGAAAAGCGAGATAACGTTCATCACACACACACACACACACAAAAAATAATTAATAGACGATCAGCTCGCGCTATTTTTTGTTCCACTCAAACAAAACCGCAAAGTTAGCTTATAAATAACTACTGCCCCTGATGGCCAAAGGCTATTAGTTTATGTNAAAAAAAAAAAAAAAAATTAATAAACGATCAGCTCGCGCTATTTTTTGTTCCACTCAAACAAAACCGCAAAGTTAGCTTATAAATAACTACTGACCCTGATTCCCAAAAATCTTAATCCATTCCCACATAGAAAAACYTTACTGATTACAAATCTCCCCTGCAAAGCCTTAGCGCTATCGCTGAAAAAATACTTTAAATATTCCGTTGGCATACTTTATAAATTTGTTGTGAAATGTGATCGTCCRGGTGWGWGTAGTCTTRAGAAAGACTGTTGTTGGTGGTGACTGACTTTACGACAAACTGAGCGGAAGTTATCTTCAGAGTCCAGTGAGAAAACGAGAGACAGTCGATGGTATTTATACCTCTGGTTCGGTTTATTTCACAGCAAACTTCAAAACATTTACTCTTATACTTTATAAAGTATATCTTTTTTCAATCAATCATAAACGATTTGCGCCCCAACGTCTTGTCTACTTAAAAACACGGATTTTCTTAACCTAGACCCAAAGAAGGCTTTTTTTAGAAGTGCAGTCTGTAAATATGAAGACCTCATTGTATTGCCTGACTAGGGCCAGTGTTGGCACTCTGCCTCGAGTGTCACTAGATAGGATTAAAAAACGCGCCAGGCCAAAATAAGACGCGTAAAGAACCCCATGGAACCTAGTTTACGTGACTAGACAAATGTTTATGAGAGTTATATTTTTAATATTCTCTTTTACTATTTATGAAGATGACTTTCTTGGACAAGCGATTGTACCACTGGCCACTATTAACCGTAACCAGACATGTAGGCTTATTCTGCCAATTCTTCCTAAAACCAACAAGTGCARCTACGTCAAAGGAGAACTTAGTCTTGAGGTAAGCTCTTAAGTCAAGGCCWTTGGGCCTTAGTAAAGTRAAGTAAAAGCAGGTCAATAAATAGRCARCTTTACAGCTGATGTRGCCTTGCAACATTAGARCTTTAAGTTTTGACGTATTTCCGGGCTAAACAAARTGAGKGTGCGCGGGCATCAATTGGACAAAGCATCYTCAGACGAAGCTGTAGTTTAGCTCTGATTTTCTTATTTTAATATATACAATAAGTTTATAATCRTGTTTTATTTTGTGTCTGTAGTTTACGTTTGATAAAAATGGTAAAGTGATTGACGGTGCTCTGCCATTGGTCGATTCGACGGATAACAAGCCCAAAACGCCAGGTAGACCAAAACCGAAAGTCAGCCATAATGCTTGGTAACCACTCGCGCGCAAAGACCAAACAATATCGTAGGGTTTGAAGAATATCAGCCATTCTGCTTGCAGTTGCAGTTGTCACATCATTGTGTTTGGGTCATTTTTAGGACCTTTTAGTCCCTTTTATACTTAGGAATCAATAATAGAATCTATAGTTTTTTTATAATTGTTATCGTTTTCTAATGTAAGARTATGTTACATTTTGCATCCGCAGTTGTCGAGGAGAATGTAACCTCGAAGACAGTCAAACCAGAGGGTAAGTAAAAATTGTATAACGTTTTGCGTGACTTTTGATTGGTTAACAGCAGAATCTGTTTGAGACCCACGCTACTACGGTAATAAAAATACCAATATCGTTGTGCCCAAGCTTCCTGATTGGTTGAGCCCAGGAGCGTTATCTTGAAAATCCTTGACCGTGACTGTCTGTCTGATTTTCACTCATACCAATATCATCATCATCATTTCTCTACGCTCCATAAGTCGCATTCATAAGGCCTTATACCAATACTGTTCTAATAAGGTCTTTATTTCACTCCTCAGAGAGCGCACCAGTGGAGGACACACCCTCAGGGTCCTTTCAGAGGAGCTACGGACCAGCCTACTCATACTCACTCGATAAGAGCTACATGGAAACGAGTCTTGATGAACTAGCACAGGAAATCGAGGCTTATGAGGCAGAGTCGAGGACCCCTGTCGAGGAGAACAAATCTGTGGAGCTTCTGATGGAACTGAAGCCAGATGTACAGCAAACTGAGAAAACACCTGAASAAGAACCGGTTCATGCAGTGGAGGAAGTCACACCTGTTGAGGCGGTCGTTGCCGAGCCGTCTAAGGTACAGTTTCCTCTTTCTTCTCCTTTGATTGATTCGCCRATTCAGTCATTGGGTTTTTCACTGCCCTACGTTTCTCCCTAATTTTCTTAACGAATTCTCAGAAAACGTTGAACACTTGCCTATCTTGAGAATACAAGTTAACAAACGTATTAATTAGTACCTTGATGTTGACGCCATTGAATTTTATCGTCTCCTCCCTGGATCTAATACATTTGAATCTTAAGAAGCTTGCATTTTTATATGAACCAGGAGGGAGAAGACGTTGAAGATAATCAAACCGAGCAGCAAAAAGAAAATGAGGAAGAGCACATAGAGGGAACTCCAGAACCAGAACACAAATCAAAATCTAAGAAATCCTTCACAGGCAAGTTCAAGCGACGACCCAAGAGCACGATTGAAGGGGAGAAGAAACCAGACGAAGAGGTGAATACCCAGAGACATTCGTACCATGCTGGAGATAAGGCTGAAGAAGAGCAGGAAACCAAGGAAGGGGAGAAGGAGGAGAAGAAGGAAGGGGAAGAGGCAGAGGATACTGCACCATCTGARCTCACAACTGAGCCTAAATCCAAGATCAGAAGATCATTCAATATGAAATTCAAGCGAGGGAGCAAGAAGGACGAGAAAGAAAAGGATAAAGAGGCTACACAGGAAACTGATGCCCCGAAAGCGGAGGAGCCAACTGATGAGAGCAAGGAACAGGCTGCTATGGAAGAGAGCCTTCAGTCTGATCCACCAAAATCGAGGTTTGGTGGGAAGTTTAAACGCTCAAAAGACGCTAAAAACGAGCCAAAAGATGAAGAAAAGGAAAACAAAGAAGAGAAGCATGAACTAGAAACTGTGGATGAAAATGCCGAATCTGGCACCCCTGCAGAAAAACAAGCCGACAGCAAACCCAAGTCGCGTAAACTGAATCTAAGACGAGGTAAACAGCGACCTGTTAGCATGAGCGCAGCTGACAAACCAGGATCCACTGATGATGAGGGTAAACTAGATCGTGMTGATCAAGTCAGGCATTCATACCATGCTGGGGACCTACCCCCGCCGCCACCGCTACGTAAGTATTATTGTTGCTATGGTAACTACGTGCCCGTTTKCCTTGGATCCAGCTTTGTTTTTTCACCTTTTGGAATTCCAGGTTGATGGTTTGTTTCTTACCCATGGAAGAATTCTGTATGTGGAACACTAGCGTAGGGAAGGGGGTTGACGGGGGGCACGTGGCCACCTCTTCCCCCTTAACAATATAGTTTGCTTTCGGCACCAAAATGTAATTACTTAATTCTCCCCCCCCCCCCCTGATTAAGACCTCGCTATGCCCCTGCTGTGGAATGTTTTTGGTTTCTTAGTTGGATATCCTGTTAAATTTTTGTTTTCCATTTTTGGTTTCCCTTTAGAGTATTTTCAATCTTTTCTTGGGCTCCCTGTGGAACATTTCTCGTTCACTGCGTAATGAAATGTGTGATTGTAATCAAGTTATTTATCCTTCTCGTGTTATTAATTACAGGCAAATCAACAAGTGAGTCATCTCTGTTGAGTTATTCTCCCAATCCTTACTCCTCATTGGTCATCGAGGTGACAGAGAAGGACCAAAAGACGTAAGTGYGGGCATTATTATTGAATAGACCCCTTGTAGTACGTCAGAATGCAATTCAATTTGGAGGACATAACRATATGTTTCCAATTCTCAAGAGATTTAAATTCTTTCATTCTGTCCTCCAAATYGAGCTTCTTTGACGTCACATGCAAGGGTTCTATATCATGTTGCTATGGGCACAACCACGTGTTTGCTGTTCACGTAACGTCACTAAGATTAAAGAAGCACACAACCGAACCAATTAGTCGAACCTTCTCCKTGGTAGTGCGGWAAACTGRTAACGAGTAGGACTCGCAYTGAATCATGAGGCTGTTTTACGGGACACCATATTGAAAAAAGAAAATCATCTAAAACAAGCCTCGCGAATAAAAGCCAAGAACCGTTGTGTAGTTTAWATTTTCGGTACATGTCCTTACTGTTGTATTGTTTTGTTACAGTTACTATCACGTGCCTGTGGCCATGGCTAAGAGAGGTACATACGAACAGAAGGGTGTCAAATACCATGTATATAATGACCACATGTTCAGAGCAACGCACTTGGAATCTGGAACGTGAGTAATTTGATTTTTCCCCAACAATAGATCTATTTAGGGGCTATTGGCAAGTTGTTGTTGTAAATGAAATTACTATTGTATTATTTACACGAAGAAGTTACAACTGCTTAGGTGAGGTACAGGGTATTTTATGGTAGACAAAGATGGGAAGCGTTTGATAATTGTTTTTGTTTTTGTTAGGGAGTGCTCAGTTTGTGGGAAGTCGATCTTTGGTCGATTTGGAAAGCAAGGATATCAGTGCATAGGTAAGCATTTAACCCCCCCTGTTTAGGRTTAGTTCTTTACAGGATGTACAATATCGTAGCTAATATTTCGATCTCACAATTCTTCCAGACTGCAAAATRACTACACACAAGAAATGCCACTACCAAACGTCCGAGATGTGCTCTAACAGTTCCATCAAAAATATCGAAATGTAAGTTATGATTGAATCACATCAATAGTCATTGTTATCAGCATTATCACCGTCTTCGGATTCATCATCATCACCACCACTATCATCATTATCATCATGAACATGATCATCATCATTATCATCATCATCATCATCATCACCACCACCATCATCATTATCATCATGAACATCATCATCATTATCATGAACATCATCATCATTATCAGCACTACCATCATCATCATTATCATCATCACCACTATAAGATTCATAACCAACAACATCATCATCAGTATCATCGTCAACATAGTCATCACCACCATCTTTGTCATCATCTAATGATTCATCATCAACATCATATCTCACTGCCATGCATCATGCATTTGTTACATATTTATAAATCGCCAGACGCGTTGTCTTCTTCAAGGGTGACATGCTGCCCATCTAGAAAAATAACTTATGATTATGTTACGAGTCGTGATGAGTATGCCAGGCCTGAAGACAATGGAATGCATAAAGTACACATTAAATCATTGAGCACGGCAGCTATCATGATCATAACCACCTCTGATCCCCAAAACTGCGAGCAATCTCTTTTTTYCCCGTGATCACTGTTTAATTAGTACCTAGTCTAATATTCCCCGGGGGGAAGGGGGTGGGGTAAGAAAGGAAAATACGAAGAGTTACGAAGAGAATTAGAGTGTATGCAGTCCATCGGTCACAGTAACTCATTAGCCATAACCTCGTTGCATGGATTACTGTTATTAGCATTTAGTTTATTTGAATGAAATAAAGATATCCATAAACTAAACCAATCCAATAACAGCAACATATCGATCCTAAACACCTAAAATCCTTCACCCTTCATAACCACATACCAACTAAAATAAACCTCACCTCACTTAATATCAATTTATTTTTTCGTATCGTTCGTCCACCTGCATGTAAAACCAATAAATTAAGCACCTACTGAATTGTTGACTCTCTTTCATTCCTTCTCTTTGTCTCATCTAATAACTTTGATTGGTTATTCTAGTAAAAAAGCACCCAATATTGTTGGCAATTAAAACATAATTATGAGCACCAGGTAGGCATGCATCTCTTCTGTCTATTCTATTACTATTATTGTTCTTATAATGCTCTAACTATCAATTCTACCTAATAACGTTAATGTACCTAAACATTCTAAAACTAGAAAATAAACTTCTTGAATGCCTAGTAAATAAAAGACGCCATAAGGGGTTTAAAACTACCTTCTAAAACATATATAAACTTTAAATAGACCTGTTCGTCTTGGCGCAATCTTTACCAATTTCAGACCACGTGTCATGTGTCTTCTCGTGCGCAACAAACAAATGATACTCTAGGAAATGACACGTGGTGTGCAATGGGTAAACATTGCACCAAGACGAATAAGGTCTGTAAAGACGTGCTTGAAATTTTACCACATAATAAAGGAACGGTGGTTGTTAGGTGGAGKTGTTTTAACATTGTGCACCTAATTCGATGTAAAGCTTATGAACTATCCTTATACCACATATGATACTTAATATAAAGAATATCAATATTTTATGGCTTTGGGCGTTTTAATTTTGTTGGGAAGAGAGCACTTTTTTCGTTTGGATATCATTGCTTTCTACTCATTGACCCTAGACGAAAAGATGTATCAATGAAAAGATATAATTCTAAAAATAATAATAATAATTCTAACAAATAAAATAGAAAAATAATCGACCCAAAGAAAATGACGTCCTTTCAGTCTGTTAACATTATCAATTTTTTTTCTTTTTTTTTTGTCATACAGAAAAGAATTTCAAGATCAAGAAGTCTAGTGCGCGCACAAATTTCTACAGAAATCATAAAACCTCCATTTGTGTCGTCATGGTAACTGAAATACTGGTGTCTTGAGGTAGTCATGGTAACAAAGTATCATCGTGGTAACGGAATGGTTTGATAATAAGAATGTATTTTCTTATTTTTAATACCGGTAACTATGGTAACCGGTGTCATGGAAATCAATATCCCAGGGAAATTAGTAGATATTAGTAACCATGGTAACACGACTCAGAGCAGTTGTCGTGTTAAAGATAATGGTTACCTAGGTAACCTTGTCCTCTGCGCAAAATTAACATAATTTTCGTCGTTGATCTTCGCGTGTGAATCGGTCATTTAAATTAATAGATCTAAGTAAAGAGGTTCATCCTGCACTGACATGAGAGAGATATATCCGTCAGAATCATACAAAAAAATTTAACTACAACAAGCTAAATTAAATGTTAAAAGCCTTATTTGATGTGTAGTGTTTAACAAACTAAATGTAGGTGTAGCAAAAAAATGTCAATGTGTGAAAAAATGCAACCAAATTTTGTACGAAAGGGCATAGGCGTATAGGAAACGTATAGGCTCTCCAAGGTTTTTGATACTACACTCAAGTACATATTCCTGTTTCTGATTGGTTCATTGCAGAAGCCAATGGAGTGTCACGATTTCGTACTCAATCACTGATTGGCCGGTCAACGTCTCTTTGCTTTCTAATTGGCTTATAGCTAAAGCCAATGGAGTGTCACAATTTCGTACTCAATCACTGATTGGCCGGTCAACGTCTCTTTGAGTTCTCATTGGTTTATAGCTAGAACCAATTGAGTGTCACAATTTCGTACTCAATCACTGTGATTGATGGGTGAACGTCTTCTGATTGGTTTATTGCAGAAGTCAATTTCGCACTCAATTTGGTTTATAGTTAAAGCCAATTCAATGCCACCTGCAGAGAGCGACTTTTTCTTTCGTTTCCTGCCGCAAGCAGTTACCATCTTCGTATTTATTGTCGTCGGTGTAGCGAATTTATTGCTGAAAAACAGCAAAAAAATAACAATACCTAGGAATACCTTGTTAAAATATAAATCTTATGTTTTATATAGTGATTAATAATTCTCTGAAGGTGATAAATATTATYTATTAGTATAAAATATAGATTATTAAATTGTAAATCATTAAAATCTGAAGCGAAAGCATTGAATGTCAGAATTCGGATAAATAGTATTCGGATAATATTAGAGCTGATATTCAAAGATTTCATTTTACCATACCACTAATATTGCTTCCCTTAGACTAAACAAATAATGTAAAATGAATGAAGAAGATTATAACTGATAACAAAGAATTCAATAAACCGTACTTGCATATTAATAAAACCTTCGGGTACTACTGAATAACTCAATTCCATAGCCCTGTAAACTACCTAAAGATGGATATAGAATACACGATAGGGGTAAAGGCTGTGTGCATCCACCAAGCGTAAACCTTTAAAAAACCTTTTAAATKTTATCGAACCCTGAAACAGCTTCCTAGCCAGGCTAATGTGCATGAACACGAATCTCTAGCACAAAGTATGACGGAGAACCGATTATTTAGCTCCTCTAAAAATTCCTCTGACAATTTTTCCTTCGACATTTCCTATGAAACAGTAAGTATTTCAACAGACGAAAATAGAAGAGTAAATTTTTTGTGATAATTCTATTGATTTTTTTGTTCTAATTTGTATAGTACTCGGTTTCCCATCATGCTTTGTGCTAGAGATTCGTGCTCGTGCACATTCCCTATTGGTTACAGGATGGTAAAACGGAAAGAGCGCGCGCTCGTTGAAGTCAGGTTATTTCAGTCCTCTTATTGGTGATAAACAATAGCCAATCAGCGGGCGAAAAATTTGTATGCTAGCTAGATGTGGAGAAACACGAGAAGAGGAGGGATGCGAGGTCGACCCCAGCACTACAAGGTTTAATGACTGAAACTTTTCTTACGATTCTTAGGTTGCATGTGAAGTCATAGCCCGATGACCTTGACAAAAATGTGGTCTTGGGTTCATTTGTTATGTCAACCAACATGGCAGCCATGTCATTTTATCCTAATGGGAGGAGAAGCATACCATTCGTAGTTTCTTATTCATTTACCAACTTTTCAGCTTGACTTTTGTCATGACTTCGAGAGTTTCCCCATTTAAACATTGCGCGCTCTTTTCACGCATGAGCGCTAGGCACTATATCTATATAACTAGCACTATGCTGTTATTAAACGCAATGTGCAGAAGTGACCCCAAAATATGTGCTCTTAACTACCCTTGCATTAACCAGTTGAAGAGAATGTAAGTGAATATTTGGGAACAGCTGATATTCGTGACTTATTTACACGCCCCCGTGACGTGGCCATCAATTTTTTGCGCCTTCTTTCTTCTGTTCCTCCGTATCAATTTACATACAGTATTATTGAAGCGGAGATAAATTTGGGTGTTGCGCCTGCATTTTTGATGTTCAGCGGTTACCTGTCCTTGCACATTATAGTATACTCTTACTTGGATTGACGATTTTTCTGACAATTCTCACACAAACATCAATAGAGATACTCCAACACGTCCACAACGTCAGAGCGCCCRTTATAACTAGCGACACATTGATTGATTTCGTGGCACTGATCGTAGCAAATACTTCGTACGCTACAACCAGTGCGTCTTGGGCGATGACCAGTATAGTACCCAAACCGTAGAAAGATAGAAGGTAATGGAACTTACGATAGCCATCGAGTATAAATACAAACAAGGCCAGACTACCGACGGCTACGACAACATGGAGTACCTGGCTCATAAAATAATTATYGGACAGAAACACCAGAACCAGACCTAAAAATATAGTTATGATAACGACTACCCAAGAGTCGAGTCGCTCTTTTAGTTTTATAATATGCGTAGGTGTCGTCCAAGAGTTGTAGGCAAGGGCTTGCGTCATGATGAAGAAGTGAACTGTTCTCAAGGCTGTCCAGGAAGAGAAACAGTTTTCCAGGAAGGGCGAGTGTGTGTATAAAGGGTCGGGTGCTTGTGCAAGCCATGACTTGAACCTGTAGGACAAGAAAGTTAAACCTATCAGTTATATACACAAAGATACACTTCTGCCAAATATATCACTGTACCCGGTTTAAGATGGCTAGCGAGGAGATGCTGGCATTCTATTTACTTGTCATTGCATGTTCAGTATGCATAGCATCTCTGACTTTGGAACAATTTACCTACAGCTTGGCTGATTACCTTAAAATGGATCCAGGATGAAAATGGCCTGTTACCACGKAGTTGGCAATGGAAACAGGTCCAGGAACTACCAGGAAGACGAAAGATAGCATTAAAACCAACTTTAATGCGGCCCTGCAAGAAGAAAAAAGATATTTAAATGTCTTTAACACAAAGACGTATTCACCGCCCACTCCATTACTAAACAGTATATTTTTACCTCATTGTTTTGAATAGTTTTTGTTCCGCCAAGTGAAATATCGCGGATTGAGAGATTATTGTCAATATGATAAGAGATATCCTTCTGGTATACCTGGCAATAGCAATCAATATCAGTAATGTAAATATATTATACGATATTACTAATGTAAATATATTATGGAATATCGCCTGAGCGTGTAGAATTGAACGTTGATCAAGCAACGGTATATGCTCAGAAATTCAATCTACAGAATGACAATYCGCAACAAGAAAAATCATTTCATATCAATCAAGAAATTTTCACACGTCTATGAGTTCACAATAGTCCCCTTTACAGTTTCCTGCGCCATCTTAAAAGGTAGCCRTGCCATAGCATCGAAGTGAGACAAGCGGTGAGCTTGCAATGATGTCGGGAGACGTGAATCATTTTCCGAGGTGTAAAAAAAGGTTCCCTCACATTGCAAGCTTACCGTTCGTCTCGCTTCGATGAAAAGTTACGGCTACCTTTTAAAGATGTTACAGGGAACAGTTAAGGGGACTATTCGTGTTCTACAACTTACCGAATGATAGTCAACACGGTAGTCATCCATTCGTGAAGTCGGGAAATAATCCGAAAAACTAGAAAGATCATTTGGAACTGCAACAAGAATAGTGTTAAACCATATCCAACCACTGTACGTGAAAGGAATCTGCTGGCGTTTCTGAAAAAGAGGAGCACAATTGAAAAAATACCAACAACTGCCACAGAAGAAAAACCTTTCAGGCGTTTGATAATATCTATTCTAACGGTCAAAATGTCTGCTTTTCTCAACAAGTTGAAAATTGAAGAATTTTAGTTGAATTGATTTCCAAAATGCAACTGTCTATTCTTTGGTTTGCGAGTATTCCCAAGAGAATGAAATGACACCATATGACCGCCATGTTGGATGAAAGGTCATAAACTGAAACCCTTTCTTGGCTTTCCATTCAACATGGCGCGAAAGACTGGCGTCACATCCAAACAAAGATTTCATCAAATAAAGTATTATACTTTATATATATATATATACTATGATAGTGAAAATGCCTAGAGAAGGTGATACCTGAGAGTGCTAACCACTACATGCAGACCTCCCTCCATCAGGGTGAAAAACAGAAAATTTAAGACGACCATGGAGGGATGTAACAGAAGCGTTAGCAGCCATATTGAAGACTTTAACCAAAACCTACAAAGAAGCAAAACCCTAAAGTAAGTAAATTTTCATTCATTCATTTATTCATTCTTCCGTCACTGTATTTACATATGTAAAAGCCCGCTGCACTTACAGCGGTATTTTCATGTCTATCCCCTGAAGCTCACTATGTTTACATCGCAAACTCACTGTATTTAAGAATAGCGCCACACACCACCCACCCTGCAGTTCACAGAACGAATCATCGTTCTGGGAATGGCCATTAAACATAAAACAGACACGATCTATAGTATATAGACAGGGGCGAATCCAGGGGGTGCACCCATAATCAATTCCTGAAACCGCCCCTGAGAAAAGTAGTAATGGCTCACCGAATGACTACAAAGATACTTGGAACAAAGACTTCTATCGCACTTATGATCGGTTTGGTTGGCAAAGGCATAACTGAAGACAGAAATATCTAAAAAGAAAACATGATAGAAAAAGAATATCTTTGGGTCACTTTTGTTTGGCTAGTTTTCCAAGACGCAGTGCTTGGCTAACATATGGAAACACRAAAGAAATGCCACAAATTCCATCAAAAAAGTGTGATTTCTTTCGTGTTTTCATCCAAGATAATATTGAGAAGTGTCCATTTCGTACAATTTCTTAATCTGGTCATGTGATCTGTCTGGTCACCTGGACAGATGTCTATGCGGTAGGCCAATACTCTGTATGATTTCTATGTAACGTTTTAACCTTGACTTGCTTAGGTCTTTTTTCCGGCACATGCTTCTCGTGTKATCTTACGCAATAATTGCCCATTAACTTATAGGAAAGTCGTCTTTAGAGTGCACGCACTAAAACCGTGAACATTAAATAGYWCTAATTAGTACTATTTCATRCGGAATCCTTTGTTTTCTATTGTTTAATTATCACTATTTAGTGCTAAAAATTAGTATTTGTTTCACGGATTTAGTGTGAGCACTCTAATTGTATTTGGATAAAATTAATCTTACTGATGCAAAACCATTCTAAAATCTGCGTCACGCATATCCGTTACATCCTCTGCTAAGCAAGCTCGCAACAGCTTAGTTCCCTTACTAAAATTAAAGCAATATTTTTCATTCCACCTTACCATAAGAATGAGAAAGTTTATGTTGGGAAAGCCATTGAAGATAGTTGTTAGAACAACCAGGGCTATCATCAGGTTCGTCCGAGTATATACTTCAACTGCCACCGAGTACGAAGACATGTCGAGCCCGGTATTTTTAATCCTCACTTCGGATGGCTATGCACATGTATATTATGTGCGAATGATTTCAACATTCAAAGTGACCCAGGGGTACTGTAGTGTTAGATCAATCTTGAGGATATTTCCATGCATTCCTAGATCATTCCTAAGCTTTCAACCAAAGAGCCATTAGTTAGATACTGAGTACATTAATCTTCCCTGTTTTCCATCAGGGACTTTGTACTTGCGTTTCGCTAACTCTGTGTCCCGATTTCCGGTCGTCTTTCCTCTTGATGTCAAGGTCATCAAAACGCCGGCTTGTGTGTCAATCAACGCTCTTCTATTCCCAGTCTCTGTCTGTTGATTTCTACGCAGGTAGACCGYGATCACGATGATAATGTCACGCTAGACCTTCATGCAGTCTACGTGCTATCTCAGGCGAAAACAATCAGGGATGATTGTARACAAGTCTAATATCAAGTCCTGTTYGTCTTACAAGTTCGTTTTAGCAAGTGGTAYCAAACGAATCAAACAAATTCACAAAACRTATGGGRAAAACGCYRATATATTTTTTAATAAATTAGCAAATCAGGTGAATTTTTTTGTTTCATTCTATTGTTTTTACGATGTCATCCATTTCTTATATTTTAATTTCATTATTTTGACATAATTTACTCAACAAATTACGGAACCTAACGGTAAAGATGTACTTCCTTTTACATTTTCCTTATTTTTTGTATTAAAAATACTATTCTTATTCGATTTTAAACAACATTAAACGTTGTTCCAGGCAAATGAAGTATTATAAGTAGAAGCATTAATACGCTTTGAGCTTCTGTTGCTCATTATGCATAATTTATACGACTCAATCTAATTTCATCATTTCAGTGTTCGCTTTCCCTCTATACTCCACTGTTCTACCTACTGTTCTACCTACTCCACAACCACGGGAAACTCAAAACAGACCACAATCTTTTTCTCAGGATCGATAAACTCTACCTTCAGCGATAAATTTCCCGTTAGAAAGTCATTCGGAACGTGATCCTTGATAATGAAGTTCGCTGTTTGTTTTGCTTTTATGGGGCAAGTAAGCCCGTATCCTTTACAAGCATCAGTAGGAAGTGGTATTGGAATGTTCATACCCTTGATAATAACCCACGCTTTGAGATGTAATGATGTTATGTACTCAGAAACGACAAACGTTAAATTAGCAGTTTCGTCGACTCCACGTTTTATGACACATGGATCTGAACCACATGGAGTTATGTCGAATTTGTTGACCTTTCCTTCTTGAGATCCACAGTCTGTGAAGTTAATGGATCTTGATTCACAGTGGCAGACTCCTGCAGCGAGAATCCAAAGAATTATGAACGAAGAAAGTGTTGACATTTTGCTGTTTACAGATCAGGAATATTTGGTGTGCTTGATCGCGTGACATCTGTTATTCTACTACGCATGCGTTGTATTGCATAAGGCGTAAGACTGGGGTCTAGGAAGTACCAGATGTGATTCAAATATCTTTTTAGTTTTTATTTACTTCAAAAGTGATCAGTTGGATACGTTGAATAGACCCCTTGCAGCACTTTGGAATGCAGCTCAATCTGGGGAACAAAACCATAGGTCCCAAGCCTCAGGAGATTGGGATTCTTTTGTTTTGTCCCCCAGGTCGACCTGCTTTGCCGTCAWATGCGAGGGGTCTATACACACTGATATATTTTATCTCATTATTACACTTTTGCTCTAGTTTGCGTTAACCTCCTTATCATGGACGTAATGCTTTGATACATCAAACCAAGTCGGTCATTCTCTTGAGAGTACGATTCTTTGTTTGAGTTGTATCCATATTCTTGTGTCTTCTCGTGCCATAACCGTTAGATAAAAAAATGATACTCAAGGGAATGACACTTGACCAGAAATGGATATTACGTCCCATGTAAAGAGGCCTATTGTTTTCTTACATTATCGACCTCAGAAGGAGGCCCAGGCAAGTAAGTTTAGTAGGTTTCTTTGTCATGGGTTGAGTAGAATCTCCATGGAAAGGGGTTTTAGCAGTTGATGGCATATTTATGAACTATTACCTAGTAGGCTTCCTCTCATTGTCAGCGTCTTCTCTTCGTTAGGCGATGGAAGGGGAGGGGAGGAGAAGATATAAACAGAATAGAGTATAAAAKTGCAAATAGATATATAATAAAATGTCATATAGGAGAGAATAGAAGAGAGACGAGCAGAGGAGATAAGAAATGAGCAACTGGTTTCAACTAGCCCAATTTGCCAAATTTATACCCTTCCTCCTTCCCTCCCTCCCTTCCTTCTTCCCTCCCTCCCTCCTTCCTCCCTCCCTTCCCTCCCTACAATAGCCCTTAACCTAAACACTACACTAGTCGTTATCCTCCAGAATTTCAGCAAAATCTAAATAAATATAGTCYGTCAAAGTAATATTTATTGATGATTAATTCAATTTTACAACAGGTAGATCAAGCGTACTTTAAAATGTGTACAAATACGCCTAACCTTGTGACCTTGACTACACGCTGACATCAGTTCTTAACGTCCGTCCGTTAACTAATGACAATAGGGAACTGAAAGCATACAAGCATTTYCCCCTCAGGATCGATTATTTCTCCTTTGATTGACAGCTTCACGGGCGGAAATTCTTGTTGTATTTCTTGCTTGACGACAAACTTTGCTTGTGATCCTTTCTTGACGGGGCATTCGAGTCCATAGCCCTGGCAAGCATTGCTAGGGATTGGTAAAGGAATGTTGAAACCTTCTTGGACAGCAAAAGCCTTAACCTTGGCACTTGTGATGTCTTCAGATGGAATGAATGTGAGTGTACCAGTTTCTGTAGTGCCTCTCTTCATGTTGCACGGCTGTTCACTGCATGGTGTTATGTCAAGRCTGACCAGCTTGCTTTCGGATCCACAGTCTGTGAAGTTGACAGCCATGGCCGAAACTGATATGAAAACATTCGACATGYAGACGATTGCTACGAACAAGAGCGCGTACACTTGAGCCATCTTGACAGAGCTCGACTACTTCAATTCCCTGAATTATACTTCTTGCTTTCGTTTACTGGACCGTAAAGGGGGCGTGTCACGGTTTATGTATTCTATAGCGTGACAGTCACATGCTTGTCTTGTGGTTTTGCGTAGGAAACTAAAGTTAAGATGTCTGTGTACTGTCACGAAACATTTGACACTCAGTGACGGCTGTGGATKACAAGTGCATGTGAAGCCTGGTACTCAGTAGTTTGACAGTCAAATGAATAACTCGTGATTTGGGTGAAATCCCATGCTCATGATTTCAAAATTTTAGGAAAATGAAAATGAATCACTATCGCACCACCTCCCAGAAATAATGAACTGTCACTTGTATGAAATATCTGTCAATTATACCATATATAGCCTAGATACGAGGATGTTCTGCTGGATAGGCCATGGTTTATCGGGTTTTATGTCTTATATAGGTTATACTATTTCCATGATATTGTCTTGGAAATTCATCATTCAAATACCAAATACCTGATTTCATCAGAATCTTTGTTACCATCAGACAAATATAGATAAGTAGTCATTACAAGGTTAGAGTACTAAATAGAGGGTAATTCGATTCCCAGAATAGCTAAAAAGCTAATCGAGCTGGAGAGGTTTGCTATCAGAACTCAAACTAAAAGAAACTTTAACAAAAATATCAAACAATCTCTTCTTAATTCCCTGCCCCATTCAGGATATTATATCG